CCTAATTAACAATGTTCCTCGGAGTGAATGACTTTTGCTAAAAAACACTTTGTCCTTTGCCTTCGGTGAGTAAAGACTCACACGTCTGCTAATTACCTCCAACCCAAACAGTTACCTGGGGCAACAGCTCTCACCGCTGCTTCCTATGAGGCTACTCACTACTCACACAGAATACAAAGATTAATCTTGGTGCTACAACAGATGGAAAATTCAATAGGAGTGTGTATGTTTGGTGGGATAGCTGCAGGAGCCAAAAGCCACACAGATGCAGTCTGACCTATTGTATTTAGCAAGGCTTAGCAGTAGCTCTGCCATCCCAGAAAACCTCCATTACAATAATAGCTTCAGTAAGCTGTCGCTATATCAGGATTTGGTCTGTTGCTCTGCAGCAGAACATCTCACTCCTTACCTCCCCCATCCTGTCTCAGTCAGCGAAGACACTAACATCATTCTGAGTTATTCTGAGCTGTTGGGGATCATAAGGCAAATAAGGCAGAAAGACAGCTACAGGGAAAAACACTAGCATCTCTCCTTAATTATGACTTTAAGCAAGTATTTTGTCCTTAACTAAAGAGAAGTTAGTCACAGCAATACAAATACATATTTACAAAATTTTACTCATCCAGATAGATATAAGTTTTAATTTTTCATTGATCATTAAAAATAAAATCAACCTATTATAACAAACACTGCAAACCAATTTAAAATTTACATTATTTTGTAACTGAAAACCAAAAAAACCCCTGAAGAAATGGCATCTTGGTGTTGAGTTGGGTTGGGTTGAGGTCTACAAAAGGTTATGGATTTTCTATGTCAGCTACATGTACAGTTTGGACTACAAAAGTATCACTGCTGTGTGTCAGTAACAGTCCTCTTTCACTTCATGCTTTAGGCTGGAAAACAAATTGCAAGGAAAAGAAACTAGATTTAACATAGGTTCCACCATAACAGCGGTCTCGAACTCCAGGCCTCGAGTGCCTGTGTCCTGCAGGTTTTAGATGTGTCCTTGATCCAACACAGCTGATTTAAATGGCTAATTTACCTCCTCAACATGTCTTGAAGTTCTCCAGAGGCCTGGTAATGAACTAATCATTTGAATCAGGTGTGTTGACCCAGGGTGAGATCTAAAATCTGCAGGACACCGGCCCTCGAGGCCTGCAGTTCAAGACCCCTGCTCTATAACGTTCAACCACCTGATGAGCCACTAAAAGCATAAACATCTTGGTCACTACATGATCCTCCTGAAATACACCACACCTTTGTGCCCAGAACCATGTAACTCAAGAGGAACAGAGAACCAGCTATTATCCCCTCTGGTCCTTTACTCTGCTGGATAAAGCAGATTCAGAACCACTCGTGAACCTGATAATTAACTACTGCTAAAAAATATGTTTATCCACATTCTTGGACATAGGCATTAATTATGCATGAGTCTCCAAGTGTGCACAACATTAACATAAAATAATGTCAGCAATTTACACTTCTCATTTTCCCACGAGTGAAAACAGGAGAGATTAATGCTGCATCAGACAAAAAGTCGAACCGACTTTAGATTAGCTGTTGTAGTTCACCTGAACCTAAAGCTAAAACGATGCTTAAACTCAATTCAAAACGGAATCTATGGCTATTTTACAACATAGCATATGACAACAAACTCAGTGTAAACCCATTCTCAGGCAGTTCTTAATCTATTGCATCATTTCCAAACAATTATTCATCACTGAGCTCAAATCCACCCACTCAAAATCCTGAAAAACATGCTAAAAATATGTTTTATCAACAAACACCAAACAGTGAGAGCAGATTATGCATTCAGGTCTTAGCTAGAAGGCTGCAGAAAGAAATCAAACAAAAGCTGAAATGTTTGTTGGGAGGAAGCTAGCTCTATAAGGACTGCTCTTCTATGTTCTGCTTTTTTGTGGCTGGATATGGCGAAGACAGGACTGCATTTAGAGGGGAAAAAAGTGATCTGAAGACTCAAACCCCTCCTGAGCTCCTGGAAGTCTCAGGCAATGCAGCTTCCCTGGAGGCTACGCAGAACTCAGCATGCAGGCGGTAATCACAACTTATCAGCATCTCTGCTGCTGTATCATGGGCAGAATACAAAGCAGTGGATCAGAGAGAAACGAATGAAGCAGAGATAGATTTTCTTCTGTTCAGTTCTGAGAAGTTTGTCTTCACCCTAGTCAATTCTCATTTAAATCGTCTCGTAACGCTCAAATGGAGAAGAAGGTACTTCTGGCTTTTTAAATCACCAAGATTTTACTCACCATCAGCTATTGCCACAATAACACATTTTATTCTGTGCCACCATTTGGAGGTCAGTCATAGATTCATTCACATGCACTCTGATGACTGGGTAAAGCTGACTCAAGGGTATCTGCAGTTACTCAAAGGCAGTGGTGCAGCGGTTTGTGGTGTGGTAAAGCCAGTAGGTTAGTAATGTCTGTGGTAATGTGTACAATTTGTCATTAAGATGCCCTCAGGGCAGACCAGGACAGGATCTTCTAACAATCTGATTAGCTTGCTTTCATTTGATAGCAGCAGGCAGCTGGCTCAGAGACTGAGCTAAAAACAGACTAACAGGGGAATAAAGGGGAAGCGGTAGATTGTTTCAGGAGCATCAGAGTACAAAGACTCAGTGTTCACTGGGTGTCGTACTACAATAGTCTAAAAAGAACCAAGAATATATGATCAACTACTGTATACACGAAATATTTACTAAATACATAACGTAAAGTATGTGCTGACATGTTCTCAATCAAATAATATCATATTTACTGAAAATATATTGCTTCAGGCAGTATTCATGTGAATCCTGTTAAGAATCAGGTGCAGTTTTTCCACCCTAAGCAGTCCAGCGTCTGTGAGCACTGTGTACAACTGTGGGGTTGGTGGTAACGTTGGAAGAAATTGCTCATCCTGGGGAGGGAGGGAGGGCTAACTCATTTTATGTGAAGGGAGGATTTTAGAACAGAGCTGTGTGATCTGCTGTTTCCACCACTTTACAGAATGTCAGCATGTATGTCCTGAACCCAGTGATGAAAGAGAAAAATGCACTGTACACATACATACACTGGACAGAACACACAGATATACAATGACATAGGACACTGACGAGATGTTTTAAAAAAGTGATATTTAAAACCTTTTTTGGCTGCTTGTGTTTACAGCTTGCTGTGAAGTTGATACTATTTACTCTAGGTAGGGTAGGAGCGTGAGCAATTATCTTAGCAAAGAGATACAAACATCAGCAAAGGTATCAGCTTTAAATGGTCATATCAACAAAATCACTGTAATGTAAACATTTACTGTCTTACTTTATCTTCTGAGGGGAATAGTTTTGGCTCTAAATGCTTCATTATACTTGCAAGAGAGCTAATAATGGTGTCTGAGGGCCATGTGGCACTGAGCAGGCATCATAACGCGGGTCCACATGTTCTTAAACTACTGAGACCAAACTAAAATTAAAGATATATGGGGTCCAGAGAGTAATGGTAAATGGCCTTTATTTGTATAGCGCTTTTACTAGTCCCCCCTAGGGACCCCAAAGCGCTTTACACACCCAGTCATCCACCCATTCACACACTGGTGGAGGCAAGCTACAGTTGTAGCCACAGCTGCCGTGGGGCAGACTGACAGAAGCGAGGCTGCCATATCGCGCCTGGTGTTGGCCAGAATATGGCCAACACCAGTAGGCGAAGTGTCTTGCCCAAGGACACAACGACCGAGACTGTCCGAGCTGGGGCTCGAACCGGCAACCTTCCGATTACAAGGCAAACTCCCAACTCTTGAACCACGGTCGCCCAAGATGTGGCTGTAGGAATTGCCCAATGTGGATCTGTGGACAAGGAATGTCTCAGTTATGGGTAATGACTTTTTTTTTTTGAATGGAATACTTTTAATTGTGGACAGACCTACTGTCTGCACAAACATGCATGAGGAGACATGGCTGGCCCATAAAATTATGGCTACATTATGGAAGCAGAAGAGTCAACAGTGAGGTAATGAACCTAGCAGAATGAAGCCTGGTTACAACCGTTTATTGTCTTGAGTGGAAGAAGCACAGACAATTGAGTAATATAACTGGGTGTTCAATGCAGCGTCACCTATTCACATTGTAACATTATGTACACACCCCCAGAACAAAAAGCTATACAATAAATCAGTATTGCACTAAACAGTGTTTGCATCTTGCTCCATTTCCACACGTCAGTGTTTTTTCAGTGTATTGATAAGCCCTATTGCGACTTAAGAAATGATATTGCTTCTTTTCTTCAAATTTTCATGTGAATATTGTGTATGTCTGTGCTGTTATTCAGTGCTTTCTAATAAACGATTAAGATGTTTGATCTCGCACGACTGAGCGAATACAGATTTTGACTCGATTAATAACAGGGACACAGGGCCCGATGGGCATCGTCACCACCTCACACACACACCGTCACTGCACACACACACACACACACACACCATGAAACTTTACCAAAAAAAGAAAATAAAGTGGTCTCTGACAACTCTATCAACATATAAAAAGAAATATTCTAAATACTTTTGGCATCTTCAGTTTAATAATTTAGGACTGAGTTAGGAGGAATATGTATTGAACAAAGAATTTCACAGTTGAGGAATAAACCTGTTGATGTAACTGCTAAATAAACTCAAAGAAAACCTTTCACATTTCTGTATGGCAATTCCTTCTTTTTTATAGCCTAGGCTACGTGAATACTTGAAAAACTTAAAAGTGATCTGTTTGCCTACACACGTCTTCTCCTTCTGCCTCTACGAGCACCTGCACACACACTTATGCCTCTCCCTGTCTTCACTCTTTTTTCCAAACCACAGATACACACAAATCATCTTTTCCTCCTCCTCGTCCTCCTCCTTCTCCTCCCATTCATGCCTTCTCTCCCTTTCCTCCTCCCTTTTCCTGCCCTTTTGCCTTCTAACATTTCTCCTCCTCCTCCCCCCCCTCTCCCTTCTCCTCACACCCCTCCTACCGTTTGGACTGCAGCAGTTTCTCCTCTGCCTCCTGTCTTTCTCTCAGCAGCGTCTGCAGGTGAAGGATCTCCGTCTGGTAAGACACTGTCCTCCCCTCCACCGCCTCCTCCAACGCTGCCAGTCTGGTTGACGCCTGGCTCCGGTACACCTGCACATACACATTAGCAGCACACAGACACGGAGGAATGAGATGTGGAGTGTTGCTATGAGAGGGGTGGATTTACATGAAGGACAGCGCAGCAGAAACAAGTGGAGTGGAGGAGGGGGAGTCTCACACACTGGGACAAGGTGAGAAACAACAACAACAGCACACAAACACAAACATGCACACACACAGATCAGTAGATTTTGTGGAAAGGATGGTGTGAATCCCTCTGTATTTCTTCTGCATGTGGTGTTTATTTGTCTGGTGGGCGTGTACTTGTCTTTGTGTCTGTGTATGTCTGTGTCCAGGAAATAGCAGTTTGTTATAAAGTTATACTTCAGTCATTGTGTCTACAGATGAGCAGCTGTTAGGCTGCTGACAGTTCATAACAACTGCTCGTAGTGCAGCACACACACTTCTACAAGTGGAAACAGGTGAGGGTTTTTTTTTTTTTTTACTGTGCCCTGCTTTACTTCTGATAAAGTCAAGTAACAATCTACAAAAACTAGACTATAAGAAAAACTGTGTGGCAGAGAAAAATACAGATGCACAAAAAGACACAATGACAGTAGCTATAACACATGCTGCTGTTCTGGGCACTGCAGTCAGAGACAACTTAGAACTGAGGAAAACAAGGTCTGAATAAGGACAGATAGTGTGTGTGTGGGGGTAGTAGCCATCTCTCAGCCTGTGTATTTGTGTGCGTGTGCAGTGGGAAAATTACAATGTCTGCCTCGGAAAGAGTAAAACGAACATGCTTTTTTTTACTCTTTTACTTTACGGATTAATTGCTTACTAAATAACTGGCTTCCCTGTATTTTATTATACGACATTCTTCACAGAGGCAGCTAGGCAAACTGCTTAATGTTTGAATACTGACGATGAATTTGATGCTCGTTTTTCTATCCACAAGGCTATGTCCCACCGTTTCCTTTCAAATCTAGCAATTACGATACCCGATTAGAAGACTGTTGGGTTATAATTATCCAAACATGAGGCATTCACCCAAATTATGTTTTGACCCTAACTGCTCCTGGTTATTGTAGACTGAGGCAGAAGTGAAAACTCCTTCAAATAAAGCCTCTCTTCAAATATTTTCAGAGAAGCAACACCAGATGTTAAATGCTTTTTCCTTAGGCTAACTGTGGTCTTGTCACAGCAAAAGTATGAATGAACCACCTGTTAAATAAGTGTTGGAATTACATGGACAGCTTTGCTTCCTCTGTGACCTCAAAGCAATAATTTCTATAATTTTATATGCATGTGGCATACAGTTTTATCATTTCCAAGAAATTTAAATTGAGAAACGATTTTTTGCTCCAGCTAAAAAATGTCCTGACAGATAAATAGGTGAAGCAATGTGATTCTTTTTTATTAAATGTGACTAATAATCCCACTATTTATTTTAACCAATTATGAGTTCATACTACATTATGACCAGAGCTTAAATCTGTGACAAAACAAACAAGAAATTAAAATAAAATTAACAGAAATCAACAGCTTGCTGTGACATGATTATTGGCCGTGTTAATTATGTACCTATAACACATATGTGAACTAGTACTATACCTTATCATACTGCCTGTGATAATTCCAATATTGATTTTTATTTGGCATATAGCGTCATATCACAACATCAGTGATAAAGTGATGCTATGCATTTCCATTTGCTAGCATATACAACAACGATTCAAGCCCAGACATGTCTGAGAACGAGGGCAGCGTGTCAGCCTCCAGTTACCACCAACAAAGCACAGTACTTTGCAAAATATGCAAGAAAACTATTTTCTCTAAAAGTGGAAATAAAAAACATGTTTCACTGTTTATTGATGTGGTTACACGGTGTGAAAGTAGAGCTTTAAGCAGCTGGTTAAATGCTTGAACCAACAAGATACAGCATTGTGAGCACAAGATAGGATTCAATTTCAAGATTCAATTTCATTTTTTTTTTTTATATGACACAGTGGTGCAGGCTCTTTCAAAGCAAATCACTACCTAGGCTACCTTGTGCTTACATTTGACTTGCACTCTGTTAGATGTCAAATGTGTAATATTATGCCGCCACTATTTCACTATAATTCCGGGTGGAAATAAATTCAGACTTTGAATTAAGTAGTCTGCCATTAGTGACAGACTACTACTACGGAAAACGAAGCCCTTTGTTTTGTTTGCACTAAGAAACGCTGCTGCCTGTGAGCTGCACATATTGTTCAGTATTTATTTTTTCATTTATTTATGATATTATCATCGATAATATTGGGACATAATTTCAAGGCTATATTGTCTACTCCTAAAGTGCCCATTATAGCAGTTGCATGCCAACAGTAACATCACCATAGCTCTGTACCATTTGTACCAGCAACATACAAGAAAATGAAAACCTTCAATAGCATATTATATGTATAGAAAAATGTATACATATATAACATTATCTTGAACATGAACTGAAATAATTCCCTGCATCAGAGTTAACATGACATATACATATATTTTTCATGTTTACAAAAAAGATTATCCAGCATTCTACACTGAAATGTGTCCATTTCAGTGTAGAAATGTGTCCATTTCTACACATTTCTACACATTTCTAGAAATGGACATTCTATTTAGTTTTATGGATGTACACTGGCAACATTAAACCAAATATAAGCTTTTATATTTTCTCTGATCATACAGTTGACACAATTCTCATCAGAAGTCTGTCATACTATACTGCTAGTAGAACCAAAATATATATCTTTTGATTTACAACTTGAATCTTAGGACAAATCATGACTTATTGAATTGAAGACATTTTTGCCTTACCAAGATAAACATGTTATAATCCATCCATCCAGCCAGCCGTTTTCTTCAGCGATTCCAATTCAGGGTTGTTATAAAACCAAATCTAAATCATTTTGGTTTTCTTATTAAGATTGGTTCACTATGATAAGTCAGCCATAATTACACTGTGACAACAATAATCATTTATTGTGGGATACCAGCCTTGGTGTTTCAATGCGAGACAGTTATGTTCAGATGACAGCAACTCTTGCACATTAAATATTTGCACTTTTGGGTTCATTTTTCTCTTTGGCATGCACACAATGGTAGTTTTAAGGAATACATATATTTAGTGCATTATCTGCAGAGCAACTCTAAAGATTCACAGGTGTTTTTCACTCAAACAGCTTCAATGTATCTGTTAGCCTTGCTATCTGCAAGATGCACTGAAAAGGCTGCTCTGATTCTATAAAGGTGTGTATACAAGAGGCCACAGATTGCAAATAGCGTGATAGCAAGACAGAGAACATGCTGCAAGAAATGTATCTGACTGATTAAACGTAGGACCAGTTTTATTTACTAACACCTTATAAGCAAAGAGAGTGAGTTTTAAGTGCAGTCTATGTGTGTGGCTGTGATTGTGTTTTTTGTAATAACAAGAGAAAGAAAAAGAACAATGTAAGAATGACTAACAGTGCTATGGAATATACAACCACAGAGATGAAGCATAATTAATAATAACAATCTAAATGTAGCTAAAACAAAATAAATGAAGATTATTACATATGTGTAGCCTGTCTGTTCAATTTTACACAGGCTTCATCTGTAATATAACCATAGGCCACATCTCCCACTTAATCCAACAAAGGTGACTGCTCTCTGGAGGAGAGCATCTATGTGGTTATTAGGGGGTAGCATATGTCACCATCCGCCACCCTGTAGTTGTGTGATGTATTTAATGCTCTGACAAAGGGACAGCCTGTTTTGCTTTACTTCTCATGGACCAGGAATGACAAATTCTAAAAATAAAAATAAAAAATAGGATTCTCCTTACAAAAATACTCATAAAAAACAATTCTTCTCTTAATGTCTTGAAAACCACACAGAACCTAATTAAACCCCAATGAAAAACAACCAATAAACGAGCTGACTTAAGATGCATTGACTAAAACTGTCATTATGTCCTAAGACAACCAAAATAAATAACATAACACCATTTTTAATGCATTCTTGTATTGGTCTTAGTTTATAAAAGAAAATAGAAAAACAGGAGTGGAGTCCATGGGGTATAATAGTGCACACTCAGAGAGAAGTCAAACACATGCAAACATGTTTGATAAAAAGCAGAACATGCCAGAAATATTCAAGATGTATTTAACAAATGTTGAAAGCACAAAAGCAGCAGGGCACCGACCTTCACTCAGCAGGGTGGCTCCAAAGCCCCACCTGACAAGCAGAATCTAAATATTAATCTGAAACTTATCTGACGCCTGTCTTGCCTCCTCACATGCTGGCCGCTTAACCATTTAGGAGTCTCAACCTTGAATATGGCCTCTGTCTCTGCCCAGCTGGCATGCTAATTCCCAGCTGAGCTCAGTGATGAATGGAATCGGTATTATATGTTGTCAAATCAAAATGTCTCCAACTCTCCAGGGAGTCAGCCATCAGCCCAGCTGAACTGGTGACATTTAGCCCTCACAACAAGCTGAGCTGAGCAACACAAAGCCAATATAGCCCCCATTCTAGCTGCATCCCAGGGGCTGCTGACCTTCTCCACACAGTAACAACAAAAATACAAAATAAATCCAGTATATTTTCTTCGCATAAGTATAATTTAAGACAGATTAGAGTTGGAGTAAGGGTGGTTTGGGCTAGCAAATGATTTATTTTATTACCATTCTGACATTGAGAAAGAAATGGATTAACTCCTGAAAATCTCAAAAGAATGTATTAATTGAAGGTATGGTATAAAGAGCTCTACTCTGCAGAAGGACTTTTGCATAACAATACTTTAACCCCACATTAAATTACAACAAACAGCCCCAACATGAATATGAATTACATCAACTGTTATTGTAACTTGGTGTGTAAGATCAGATCACTGAGTGTCCACTTTAATCAGTCTAATAACATGTTGTCGGGTCAATGTGGTCAGGTGTTCTTCCATTTTGAAATAACCTATTTTGCTGCTGAGTCAGGAGCGCATCCCATATAGCTGGATACTGCTGATCAGCATGACCAATGGACAGTCAGACATTTCCCGCAGGAGATGGTCACAGAGGGGTTGAAGGAATAGCACAATGATCATGGAGCACATTGTGCAGAATGCAGAGAACGAGATTCGATTTGCTATCACTCTGAGCCTTGTTTGCAAGCTAGA